TGCTTTATTTTTTCAGTTTCTTGACAGTACTAGTTATGATGTTAAAGCAACAAGGCCTTCAGTGAGTCTGTGGTGATGAATTGCTTAAATGAACAATCGGTTTCTTGGGTCAGTTGCTTTGAGCTGGTGAGCATGTCATTTCTAGACATAGGGAAGACTTCTTTTAGAAGGACAAAATTTCTGTAATTTGGGAATGACTGGGCCCATTTTTCATTTGATTTCATAAAGAACTCACTTGTATGCTGAATCCAAGAACTGAAAATCTCTCCAAAGGCATTTTGTGATTGATGTGCTGCTAACAACTGGGAATTGAAGTGTGAGCTATATTTGGCTTAGGCTCCTCTGCTACTGTGTGCGCTCCATTGCTTTTAACAATTTGTATACATGTGTCATTCTAGATGGGTGTGTGATGTGCATATTCTCCTTAGCTCTGCATGTACATACTGAGGTTCAAGAAACATGTATGCAAAATTTGTTAAAAGCAAGAGACCTTTGGAAGTAGCAACATCTGAGTATGTGTGTCCATGTGTTTACCTGGAAAAGATTCCAACCTGAGGACCTTTACAGTGGTTGGTGACCTCCCTGTATGACTCTTTCTACTTCTGTGGTTACGCTTTCTCTTTGTTAACATTGGTTTTATTATGCATAGGCTAGAATGTTGTGGAAAAATACCTGCAAGCACAATTCGTAACCATTCCTCATGGCTTCACTTTGGGGTTTAGATCAGACACATCTAAACCCTTCTCTGTAGTTATGTGCTCCACGTTCTCGTGACGGCCGCCTGCCAGACCTGCAGGTCTGGAACGTGACTGATGTGCATCGGGGTGTTTTTGCTGAGCTGCACCTGGTTTGGGACTGTTCCAAATGAGTTTTGTCATGCATCGTGTTAATGGTCATGAGGGGAAGGGGGGAAGCTACAGGCGGAGGCGTCGCTGTGGGGCTTGCACCGTACCTGTTGCGCATCCACATACAGCGCCATTCCCTGTCACTATGAAACACCTCTGCCGGTAGCGGTCACACGCATCCCCTTTGGATTGTGGCATTTTCTGTCTCGGGTTCAATGTGTGTTAATCCTGTGGGTGTTGCCATTCCTTCTACTTGCAGCTTCTCGACGTCATTCCAGGTCCACTAGTGCTCTCTCCACTGCTGATTCTGTTGGGCAGTCAGGTGAACAAGCGCTAACTGCATGAATCCGCTTCTTATACGTAGTCTTGTTTTATACCATCTTAACATTTGCCATCGTGTGCATCAGCCAGCACTTGGCATGTGCTTCTCACCCCTGCGGGGCTTTCTGTTCTGGTTTTGTTCAACGTGGCTTTTTGTTTTGAGTTTCATTTATTGAATGTTTTTAATTTTGTGTATTTTAGGATCATTGTTTGAACAAAGGGTGATCCAGGGCTTTCTCAATTCTTCTCTAAATTGGATCAGTTGTGCAGCATGGGCTAAATCCTGACTGATGCAGAGTACTTGCAAATTCTGTTCACTCTTTAGCAGTGTAGCACTTTCCAGTGTTTAGGACAGGGTCCTGAAGGGTTTCATCCCATTTATTACTAAATATTCTGGACTCCTTTCTCTGTTAATGAAAGTTCTTTGTGGGATCCCCTCCAGAATACACAAAAGTAGCAAAAAATAAGCACCTGATGAGCTTTCAAAATGAACTTTGGAGCATAAAACATGCTGATCCATCCTTCATGTAATTCTGAAGGCCTTGTCCAAAGTACATGGAAGTTTTTGAAAGAAAAAAAAATCCCTTAATTTCACTGGGCTTTGCATAAGGTGACTGATGGTTACATGTAATGAGAAAAATCTGCGGATTCCAGTTGCTTCTGTCCCACCCCTGTACTGGATTTGCAGTTATGGAGAACACATAATTCCTTTTGAAATGAGGATATTTTACTTGGAATCTTAAAAAGAATTGAATGAGGTGTGTTAGCTTTGAGACAACAGAGACTTAACTGTGGGGACAAAGATAAATGTAGAAGATGAGGGCTTCAGTGTTTTCTTGGAGGCTAAAGTCGTATAAGGACTTTGTTCTACTGGAAGTTACTTAATTAACACCCTTCAAATAGGGAGTGAAAAATACTCATTCTTATGAGTCTAAATGGCTATCACTTAAAAGTCTCAAAACATTTCCCTTACCATGTTACTCAACAGAAGTGATGCAAGCTGATTTGACTGGCATTTTTCAAATAACAATTTGAATTTGTATTTAACCAAAATAATTAAAAATATTTAAAATAACTCAGTTGTAATACAGATTTAAGCTTTGTTTGCTTCTGGCTTCCTGTGATAGTCACTTCATGTTTGGCTCCTGTAGTTTGATACACAGCATAATCAAATTTTGTGTGGTTAGCTGTGTACTACAGAAAGCCAAAATCTTCTGAAAAATGGCAAAACAGGATTAATAATGGTGGTTGCAAATTTTCACCAAGTTTGTAACAAGTATAATGAACGAATCTAGCCAGGGAGACAAGGGAATGTGGCCAGAGCATAATCTGCAGATTTCTAGCCCAGTAACACCGGGCTTGGCTGTAGTGGTTATTCCTGGAGCCAGGTGTGTTCCCAGCCCCACACCAGAGATACATTGAGGTCTCTCCTATCGTCTTATTTCAGCACTCAAGTATGGCAACAGTGTCTTGGGGAGAAGCCCAGAGTAACTTGGGTGTTGCAAATCTAAAAATCACTGAACAAAGTAGTCCAGAAGATTCCTGATAGCTATGGAGATAGCCAGCATGCCACACTGTACTTAATGTGTTAAAAAAGCTCAATTTTGTTTCTTTATGCTGGGTATTTAAACTGATCTACAACTGAATTACTTTGTCATTTTGTTCTTCATTTAAAAAAAAAACCCAATACAACTATCTTCCCTTTTCTAATGTACTACTAAATTAATTCAAAAACAAATGTCAGTGGTATTTTCATGCTAGTTTCAAAAGTTAAAGCCAATTTCTGATCTCAGTAACACTTGATTAAAGTAATTGAGTTGGTTTTAAATATAAAACCACAACTTACCTCAACATTTACAGCCCTTGTACTGTACCAGATCTCATTTACACTTAGGAACTTGTCTTCTGAACAACTTTATTGTGTATATATCTCTGTAGGTGGTGACTTTAGTTTCAGTCAGACCTACTTCATTATCATCTCTGTGCTTCTGTTAAGAGTGCAGAGATTTTTCCCTTTTAGGAATAAAGAACTATTCCATCTTCATATTTGAAGTGATTCTTCAGCCTTAATGCATTAAAAAAGGGGATAGTAATAACACATACAGCTTTTATTTCTTTGTGAAATGTCATGATTTGATTACTTTTTGGCAGTAGCTCTAAGAAGTTTGTTTATTTTTTTCCCCTTGTAATGTGTTTTGTAGAAAATGTGCTTTTGTTGTAAATCAGAAATGTCTTGTCTGAGTATGTAACTTTAAGAAATAGTAAATTTTGATAGATACCACTTATGTTTGAAATAAATATTAGTCTGGAGGGGGCTTTTTTCTTTTCAAAATAGTTTGGTTTTAAAAAATCTTCCCCGTTTCCCTGCAGTAGCTTAATCTCAAATAAAGCTTTGTAATTAGGACAGTAGAACTGGCCAACTTCAATCTCTGATTTAAATTACGCATGTCAATGTGAGCTAATCCCTAAAAGATATTTCAGTGCAGTAGCTTCCATAAAGAAGAACGCAATGAAATTTTGTGATACGCAGTATTTTCCCCAAAAACAGATTAAGCTGCTGAATACCATGTTTGGCCTCAACTTTGAGCAAATCCACTATATGGTTCAGTTATTTGATAAGCAGCATTTTTCCACTGTTAAATAAATATAGATGAAATATTAAAAGACCTGTGTGACTTGACCCCTCTCGTGGATCAGCTGAAGGTCTCTTAAATGGGCTCATGCAGCTTGATCCATGCACCACTGAATTTGCTGGCAAAACTCCTGTTGGCGTGTGTGGGTACAAGAACAGAAGTGTAACATAGGTTCCAGGAGGGATATTTCAAGTCCTCCATGAGCAAACACAAGCCCACACTGAAAGACTTGGAATGTCATAACCAATCTTTCTGTTTATGGACCAGAGCCAGGATCCCAGTATCTGGTATCTGATCTGCCCCCCTCTAGAAGGACTCAGCTGCCCAAACCTGGCCTGTGATACTTAAGTTACTGATTCTGTCATAGCTCTGCTAGTGGACCTTTATGAATTTGGCTTTGCTAGAGAAACTAGTTTCAGTCACTTTTTTGGTAGACTGGACAAATGGTAAAGGGAACTAATTAATATTAGGAATCTAAATGGCATTTTAGACTAAATGCTATTGCTTTGGATGCCATTGTGAGCTTTGCCATCAAATTCAAAGGGATAAAAGATGATATTGTCTGCTTAAAACCAGTTTTGATATAGAGCTCTGGAATTTAGACTACTTCTCAAGAGAACCAGAAATTGGAGTCACTTCACAAGTGAATTATTAACTTACTTTTTATACTGTGAAGGTGTAGGGGTATATTCTACTGGTTAATCAAGCCTTGAGACATAAAATAGACTAATCTGGTGCTGCTAGTCTCACATATTTGCCTGAGAGAAAAGGCTGCAGGATAGATGAGTGCTCGAGTATTTACATGTTCTGACACTTGGCATGGTTCTGTCTCTCTGAAGTTAATGAGAAGCTCTCTTGATTTCTGAGGGTGCCAGATTGGGATGGGCATGTCTGCCTCTGACATTAAAATAAGCCTTTGAGACAACTGAGTAAAAAGAAAGTAGATAACCTGCTTCCCAGCTTAAAATAAATAAATGAAAAGTTGCCCTGAGGATCCAAAATTTCCTCTAACACCCAACAAACAATAGTTTATTTCTTACCCTAATGGCAGACTCTCTGGAGCTTTGGGTAAAAGGGCGTTTAATGGAAAAGCACTGTGAGTTCCCAGAGTCCATGGGGAGAACTACTCAGGCACCTGATTAGGATTCCAAATGAATGTGAATTCATTTAACAATCCCTTTCACTGTTGTCTTTTGTGCAGACCGGTTTGGACTCGGACAGCCAGGCAGGATGCCTGCTTCTGTGAATGCCATGCGAGTCCTGAGCACCAGCACAGATCTGGAGGCTGCTGTGGCCGATGCACTGGTAAGAGGAAAAATACAAAATGCTTCCAACACCGGAAAGTGGCTTAAAGTTACCTGTACGTATGTTCTCCTCTTTCTAAATAGCTTTATTCTGGTTGTGCCAGTGTCTGATGCTGTAGAGTTACCTTTTGCTGTTTTGACTTTGGGTACACTGGCAGCAGTATGTTTTTCCTTATTCCATGTCAGTTCTCCACATCTGTTGTCAGAGTGCTGTGGCTTGGTGCTACAGCTGCAGGATGGGTTCAGTCAGCTGTTTACCTTTCACTTGGCTCTCATGGGGTGCCCAGCACAGTGCTCGGCACTCGTGGGGTTGGAGATTTCCATCAGTCCTATTACCTGCATAAAGATTTTGTCAGAAAAACAGTGTTCTCTTAGTGTCAATTCCTGATTAGGTTTCAGCAAGAACAAGTTTCTGCCCTGTTTTATTTGCACCTGGGTAGATAGTCAGAGAGCTCATAACTTGACTTGTATGGAATCTGTACCATCTCATGCAGTTATGGTGTAAGTTGAATTGTATTTGTCTAGTTTGCTGCTAATACTTTCAAATATTCACTGCTTTTCCTAGTAAATTTTATGCCATTTAAATATATATGTCCTGTATAATCTTACTGTACTATGGTATCTTTTGGATAGAACCCAGAAAATGTCTTCTGCTTTTCAAGAAGGCACATGCTAAGCCTTTGTATGTACTTAGAATATTTGGGGGAGGTAGGATGTGTAGAGGCAGGAGAAATTATTGTGCAGTGCTAGCTGGGTACCCATGGGACTTTTCCAGCTCTAGACCTGAATGAAGCAAGGATTTCCTGATATATCCTGGGACAGATCTTTCAGAATCTGTCTCAGATGGCCTTTAAGGAAGATGAACCATGTTACCAGTGTTCATGGTAGCTGGCCTTTCTCCATTTCCTAGTTCACTTTCCCCAAGGATGGTTAACGTTTTCCTTTTTATGTCTGATTATCACCCAGCTCATGACACCTATTTGAGGACTTCTAGAAAAATGGTCCTTTTTACAAAATTTACCTTTCAAAAAAAAGAAACTATTTGTGAACAAAGAAAGATAGAGCAGTGTACATATAATGGATGGCACTGCTGAATTTAGTGTGCTGAATCACTAGTGGGCATTTTCATTACCAAATGTAACAGCTTGTGAGCCAGTTTCTGCTCTCAGCACCTCAAATTTGCTACCAGAGCAGTACAGGACATAATTACAGACAATGGTTTGCCTGTGTAAATGAAATCGGGCTTTATCCCTGCATGTGAGCAGCTGCTGAATACAGGTTTCTTAAGGGAGGAGAGTGTCAGTGTTTCAATTGACTGCTGAGCCCTGAGATTTCTTAGGGTGTGACTTAATCTTCAGCTAGATTTACAGAGTACTCTTTTAAATATTACAGCTTTGAAGTTAAGTAACATTGAAATGTTAAAATTTTGAAGGGTTGAACACTTGAAAGGGAAATACTTAAGTCTAGCTGGAAACTAGCTGGTGCTGCTGACTTGGTTGATCAATCTGAATTTCTAGCGGCTTCAGGAGATGCAACACAATCTTGTTGATCCCTTCTTTCCCAGCACACCAGTTTTCTCTTCGTTGCCTTCTGACAACAGGCAATTTACAAAGCCTGTGCAGGCTCCTTTTGAGAGAGTGTTACAATGCCAGCTTTTACCCAGTAACCTTGTTTTCAGAGAGTTGTCTTTTCCATGTAGTAAGAAATGAAAAGGGCTTCTCCAGAGATGGCTTCAGCCAAATCCTCAATTGAAACAAAACACGGCGGGTCATTCTGTGACCTCTACTCCTTCTGTACAATTCCAGTTGGATTCACTGCTTCTGTTTGAGCTGGACTTGGCCTAAACCCACAGTGTCTATACTGGGAATTAGTGGGAATTAAATTAAGTCTGTCAGAAGAGCTCAAAGGGTGATGGAAACTTTGCTGTTAACCAGGGGGTCTTAGAAGAAGTTGATCTTCAAAACAGTGTGTAAGAACTGTGGGTTGAAAGAGAACTTGTCAAGTGAAGTTGATTAAATGTGCTGTACTGTAGATAGTGGCTTCCTCACATCAGAATTTCTTTGCAAGACTCTGAAATGAAACTCTGTGAGTAATATGTGGGGAAAGAGAAATCACTAGTGAAATCTCTGGTATCTTTCATTGCACGTTTCTGAAAAGTAAGCGAAGAGGTGCTGAATATAGATCTGTTCCTAAAAAAGTTTTTAACAGATAATTCTCATTTCCAAGTTCCCTAAGGGAAACTGTAGCCACCATGAGTAGTGCAACAGTTAGGAGTTAAAGTCAGGCATTATTATACCCACTTTTATTTTGCAAAAACTGTATATTTTTTTTAATTTGCTATGACACATTTGCTATACGTTTTTGTTGCAAAAACAAACCCTACATAAGCTTCTGACATAATTCTCTATGCTTTTTCCCACCCTTCAATATTTTCCTGCCTACAGCTGTTAGGAGACTCCAGGAGCAAGGTACTAGTGCTTTCTTGACTTTTTATTTCTACTTACCCACTCTTCCCCACCCTGTGCTAACACCCATGGTACTGCACATGAGTTAATTTCTATGCTTCAGTCTTCCAGTCCTGAAGCAAAAGGAAACTTCCTAAAGGAAGCAAAACTCTTCTGGCTTCACAAGTCCAAGACCTGCAGGACTGGACACTGGAAGGAATTCTGTAGCAAACACTTTAGAATATAGATTATCTTTTTATGATACATTATCTTGTCAACCCTGTTCTTTTAAGGTTTATTTAAGAGGTTTATTTTGCTGCCATAGTTATGCTACTATGCTTTCTGTAAGGATCAAGGCTGTCAGAGATTGTATCTAAGGGAATTAGGTCCTCTAATGCCATGCTATAGAAATGAGTGGGATTTGAGTACTCAACTCCCTTAGCAGCCTCTGGAAAGAATCATAGCCCAAACTAACAGAAATTGCCATCTCCTACATCCAATGCATTTCTAGAGTCACTTCAGTATCAGTATCAAAGTGACTGGGCATGCCAGCCCAGATTCTTTCAGCTATTTCTTCCTTATCTTTATTTTTTTTAAAGTAGAGATTTTATCATCGTAGTATCTGTAGCAATGGAGCTGACCATTATTGCCAATAGAACATTTATTGTATTTAATTTCATTACCAGTAACTTTATTCTACTGGGCATAAATACATCATTTTCATGCTGGGGAAGGCAGGCCCTCTTCCCAAATCACTCAGTCTCATTGAAATCAGTAGGGTCTGTCTTGCTCTGTTCTGAGAGGTAATCAGGCAATGCATGGTGACATCTTTAAAACACTTAAGTCACTATAACAAGTAGCACTAATCTTCCTTTTAGTGATTGCAAATAGAATGTTTTTCTTTTGGCATCGATATAACTGTATATAACTTAAGTCCAAGTTTCCCCTTTTCCAGAAAAAGCCGGTGAGAAGAAGATACGAGCCCTATGGGATGTACTCTGATGACGATGCCAACAGCGATGCATCCAGCGCCTGCTCGGAGCGCTCCTATGGCTCCAGGAACGGGGGCATTCCACACTACCTGCGGCAAACTGAAGATGTGGCTGAGGTCTTGAACCACTGTGCCAGCTCCAACTGGTCTGAAAGGAAAGAAGGGCTCATAGGTCTTCAGAATTTACTGAAAAGCCAGCGGACACTGAGGTAACTTCATAGTTTTCTGGTGTCAATAATTCATTAGGGATGGCTAGAGCCAGAAAGCAGTATTATGTACCTGCCTTATGGAGACAGGTAGTGTCTTCCATGGCTGTGAAGGCTTTGTCTTCACAATGTGGGATTGCAGTTAACTTTTGGAAAGGTTTCTGCTGTGGTATCAGTATGATTTGTGGCAGTAATGTAGAAAGGACTCAGGTAAGCATGCTGTCTTTTCTTAGCCTTCACCCATTTCAAGAAGACCTCCAGTAGCAGGTGCTTGGTGCAGCACTGTGAGATTTCCCACAGTGGTGCTGTTGTGAACATACTCAAGGGGTGGTGCCATTTTTACATTAGTCTGTTTGAACTTTCAATATTTTTTCCCATGGCAATTTACTTGGTGAAGCAAACATTGCACTTACTCTAAAATGACTTGGGGTGTGTGTTTCAAAGCTGAGATCAGACAGTGCTGGTGTTGGCTGTACTTCAACTCTTTATGAAGGCTCTGTTAGGTGTAATTATAGATCCTGTTTGTAACTCTTGAAAAATTTTATATCAGAAACTTGTGTCCTATAAATGGTGTAGTGTGTAATGTAGAGGGAAGTTTCTTAGGGCAATGAAGTATGTTTACCAGCTCTGGAACTGCATATGATAGGAGAGGGAGACCTTTTTCTCTTGCTGAGAACCACAACACCCCTTCAAATGTTTTTGGCACATCACACCTAAAAAAAGAAGATTTAGAATTATCCAGTAGGTCTCAGAATTATCCAGTAGTCATGTGGAAACTCCTTAAGGCCACAGGTCATGCTAACTAGACAACTGGCTTTCAGGCCATAGACATTTCACCTTTAGTTTATGGAGAAAATGTTAGATACACTTTGTTTATCTCTTAGCTCCTTTGAAGGTAACATTCACAAACAGCTCTGAAAATTCTATTTTTCTGTTATAAATCATATGTACTTAAATTATAGCCAAGTTTGTAAGTCATTGTTTAGAGCCTCCCTACTTGGGTTTGTGCAATTGTTTCTGTTTTGAAAGGACTTGACACTGGCTGAAAATAATTTGATGGTTTATGTTAACAGTCTGAATGAAAGTGTACTGAGAGCAGGCCTGAAGGAGTTGGTTTGTTGCCATCGTAAAAACACCTCTAGCATTTCACATGATGTGATACAGGCCTTAAATGGGAAGTGCTAGAGGATTTTAAATGGGTAGTTAGAGTCTCTAGATCAGAGATGCTTTTTGATGTGGTATGTTTCTGAGTCTCCTAAAAGATATTTCCACCATGTATGCTGTCTTTTTTGTCTCTCTTTAACAAACTGTCTGGAAAAACTGTGGCACCTCATTACTTTTATGAAAAAGCTGAGTGAGATTTTAATTTTGCCGCAAAAGTGTGTGAGGATTATAAGCAAGATTTGGAGTGCTGCTGCGGATAGTTGCAAGGGGGGAAGTGCTGAGAAGTTTTGGTGATGGGCTGTTTGTCCAGGTCAGTAGATCTTAGCAGAAATACTGGTGGAATTAAGCTCTTGATTTCAGCCCTGCAGGTTGTAGTGTTTGAACTATGCTGTCACCAGTCCCTCAAGCTAGCAAGTTGTCTTAGCTTTGATCCTGAATAATTTTTAAATCTGTCCCAGAAACTATACCTCTGTGCAGTTATTTTTTTAATTTAATGCTGTGTTTAGTTCTCAGTATTTCATTTTGGCGTTCTTTTGATCTGTTTCCTCCTTGGTTCAGAGTTGATCTAGTGCCTGTTTAGCTTTTTAGTGATTAGATTTTATCATCCTGCTTGTTCCCACGGCATCTTGAGAACATCATCAAGGTCATTAGTCCAAGGGACAAGTCTGTCTTTTAATAAAACCTTATACCTTCTGTTGTGGTGTGACATGTTAATAAGAGGCAGTGATATGGCTGAGTTTTCTTAGTATTCTGAACTGAAAGATGGCTGATCCTCTGTTAGCTGGGATTTGCATATCCAGAGACCTGCATGCAAAGTGGAATGGCACTTACCCATCCTCTTTGTTTCATACAGCTTCATGTGACCTACTTTTTTAAGGGCTCCCCATAAGGTCTTCTAAATAAAACAGGGCAAACAAGTCCCTTAAGGAAATGTTCTTCCACTGCCTGTTGCATTTTACTACTTGCATTGTTACCTTGGGTCTGTGAGCTTTCAGAAACAGGCACACATATACTTGCTGACTTTATATAACCTTTGTCCAGAAAGAAAATTCATTAGCGTAATAAACAGGGGTTCATTCAGAGAGCTGCAATCTGCATGATGTCAGGAGAGTGTTGTAGTCATTTTGAACCTGTGCAGCCTCACCCTGAATTAAGCTGACATCTTACTGTGCTGTTGTTACAAAGACTTTTCCCTCCCTACCAGACTCTTAAACCCATTGGTTTTGTGCCCTTTTAAAATTTAATCAGCTTTTCATGCATAGATTTATTGAAAAAAAAAAAAAAAAGGTCCTGTATTACTTAGAAACAATCTAACATAAAATATATGTAGAGTACAGCCTTATTCTGGCCTGTTTGAAGATTATTTTTAGAAAGAGAGAAGTTGGTGGATTGTAGAATTAATGTTGGTCTGGAAATACATTCCCTGTAGTCAAAATCTTCATAACACTTCTCTGAGCAGTCAGTGTTCATTTCACTAGTTGCTCTGGTTTTATTGTAATTGTGAAAAATGTCTGTTTGCATCCATAGTGTGCAGGAAATGTAACTTAACTGTCTTGCTCTATTTTGTTTGCACCATAAACAAGAAGTGCTTCTGTATTTTTTGCCAGTTCGCCTTGCAGGAAAGCTAAGACATCTCAATACTTTGCACATAAGAGCTTTGGCACCAAAGAGTTCTGCATTTGACTCCAACTCAGTATCTCATGCATCATTCTTCTTTCCCCCTGCCATAAAAAGAGCACTACTGAGCACCAAATAATCTCTTACTAATAGGAACTTAGATTGTTCCTTGACGTAATTATCTTCTGATTTAATAGGTTACCATTTGTTAATGTCTCTTCCATTTCTCTATGTTTGGCTTCTCAGTGTGCCTGTCTGCTGTCAGACTTTGGAGTCAGTTCTGATGTGTTAATAATCTGATTCTAGACTGATACTACTGAAGCAACTGGGAATTTAAACCAAAAGATTTGATTAGTATATAACCAGAAAGTTTTGATTTTACTTGAAATTTTGAAATCCTTGACACAAAGAAGACGTAAAAACTTAAGGTGAAAAAAAAAAGTGTGATTCAGTGACCTTGACCCAGACAGAAACTAAGTGCCTCCTAACTGTGCACATTTCAAGTTGTTTTCTGGAATCCAGAATATAGAAGAAAATAAAAGCAGCAGAAAATACAATTGTCTGGTTTAAGATTTAAAAAAATAAATGTTGATTAGATTCTTAATGCAAAACTGGTGATCCCAGCAGTTAAACTGGAGTTCCAGTAAAGGCTTTGCCTAGATAAACAGAGTTTTCAGAAGTGTGGCTGAAGTAACATTTAAATATAGAAGGTTAGATCTTTCAGCTGTTAATGTTTATTAGCTGATTTTTTTTTCCTTTTTTTTCTTCCTGCAACTAAAACTTTGGCATTAATCTCGTGTTTTATTTATGTATTTTAGCCGAGTGGAGTTAAAAAGGCTGTGTGAAATATTTACTCGCATGTTTGCTGACCCTCACAGCAAGGTAAGATCACAAAGCCTTGGCTCACTCTCCTGCGTTACTGTGTGTGCACATTTGACACTGTTCCAAGACGAGTGGTTTGTGTTTCTACCGCTGCCATCTGCCGGGGAAAACTGGCATTTAAAAATCTCCTTGGTTTTCATTTATTTTACAAGGAGGGGATGTGTCTCAGTCTCTCTTATGTCGCTAGGAACTGGTTACTCCATGCTTTCTGAGTAACCTGCCTAATGCCTTTCAGAGGTCACCTCCTGGAGCCAGAAGTTCACTTTGATTTGCACTCCTCTAGGGTGTATTTTTGGTGATACACAGGGAACAGTGGTCCATGAATGGTCATGAGCATCACAGCCACTGGGTTTGTGTATTGTGTACACCTGGGAGCAGGTGTCTCACCAAGATACATAATCTCGGTGAGAATGAATCTCATAATCTAGGTCTTTAATATAGCTACTTTGCCTTCCTTAAAACACTGACCTTTGAAGTTAAAGGCTGTGGCATGAATATAAAGACGTTTCTTAAGAAGCGAGCCTCAGAATGGGGAGGTAGGGCCCATAGGCATGTTCAGAACTAGTGGATTTCTATGGGACAGCAGGGAAACAGGAATAGGGAATTTCATGCCCATTTCTGAGTTTTGCTAGTTTAGGAAAACCAGTAATGGCTGTGTAAAACTATCAGCTGTTGGGTTAAACGCAGTCTGAGAAAGAATAAATTGTATAAACATTTGTACTTCAAGGCCTTTTGGTAAACCAGTTTTAATAAATGATTGTTGGGTGGAAATACCATGGGCAGACAGAGTAGCCTGTCATAGGTCTTGCTCAAAATGTGCATTTTTAGCCTTAACTATACCATGGACCAGCTGTCCCACAGGTCTCATCAAGCTTTTAGTACCTACCTGTAAGTTCTTAATGCTTTGGTTCCCCAAGGTATGTGTAGTAGAAAGGATGGAGGTGTAATTATTTGTTTGCAAAATATTTCCAATTTCTGAATAAGGTGGAAATTTATTGCACACTGGGCTCAAGTATATCCTTTGTGGCAGCAGTGATCTGTCATCTTCACTGCTTTTGTAGAATTACTGATGCAAACTCATTAGTTGTGGTGTTAAACACACATAGCTTTGTTCTTATAATTGTATATAAACATATAAACTACTTGACTGAGGAGATACAAGGCATATAATGTTTTAAGCAATTCTGCTGACAAGAGATTTGTGTTTTAAGAAAATGTAAACTTTGAATGAATGTGTCTTTTATCTGTTGAGAAACTGCATCCTTGATCACTCTGTGTGCTAACGAGTGGTTTGTTTTGTTGCATGGCCTGCTTTGCCGTGGAATTCACAACAGAGAGTAAGTGTTTTCTATCCCTTTCTTTCATTCGTTACATGTGGTATTTTAATACAACACATTTTAGACATGTCTTGTCTGATTTTTTTTCCAGAGCAATGTAGTCACTAAAATCATTCATTCATGAAACTTTTATAACAAAATCATCCTGAAAGTCAGACTGTAAACCCCCTTCCCCTTTGAATATTTTTATTTTAAGAACTGTATTTCTTTTTCTGAGACTTGTTTTGTTTATAGGTCTTCAGCATGTTTCTGGAAACCCTGGTTGATTTCATCATCATTCATAAAGATGACTTGCAGGATTGGCTTTTTGTTCTCCTGACCCAGTTGCTAAAGAAAATGGGAGCAGATTTGTTGGGGTCTGTGCAGGCAAAAGTTCAAAAAGCTTTGGATGTCACCAGGTAGAGTACTCAGATGGCAAATGTTGTGGAGATTTTTTCAGGATTACTGGAAGGCATGATTTTAGAAATCCAGCAGTGCTGTGTATTTTGAGGGTTCAATCTTGATGAATATAGGAGAACAAAGTTATGTCACAGTATTTCAAGTATTGAATTAAAAGGGCCTGTCTCTCTTATAAGTAAATGACTTTAAAGCATAAATTAAAAAAGATATAGCTGGTTGATTTTAGGGTTTTGTGGGGTGTGTGCTCAGATACCATTTTATGATTGACATAAAAAAAAAATATGCAGTATTCAGAACATGAAAGTTGCTTTACCACAAAGATCAGCACCTCTTTCATGTTGTTCAAACACAAGCAGTCAGGTCAGGATAAGACCTTGAATACTACTGCAGTGCTCACTCCAATTCTGTACTCCATGTCCTTTTCAAAGGATGTCCAGTGCAGGACACTATTACAATAAAGTTCAGCTCATTCTAGAAATAGGATAATTAAGATAGAAAATAAAAATAGTAATAATCTAGGAGAAAATAGTGGGGGGAAAAAGAGAAGAGAGATCAAAACCAGGTATGAGCCCTGAGGACAAGATAAACTAAGCTGCTTCTAGAGATAAGGGAACAAAGCAGAGTCTGAAAGGAAATGGATAGGCATGGCAAAAGAAGTGTACAGACAGAGTAAGAGTGTGTACAGATACTGATTTAGCAGTTTTCTCCAGTCTTGTGTCAGTAACTAGCTAATCCTTAAGCTTAGAGTTTCTCTTATTGATGGTAAAGTTACCCAGAAGAAAAGTGTGTTGAAAGCTGTTATGTAAGCTTTGAGGTATTGAGTTAATTTATTTTTGTTTTTGTTTCCTTTGGACAGGGATTCTTTTCCATTTGATCAGCAGTTTAACATTTTGATGAGGTTTATTGTAGATCAGACCCAGACACCAAACCTGAAGGTCAGTATTAAAAGCCATTTCACTAAGGCATCAACATGGCTTGTCTTAGCTTGTCATGTCAGGCATATCATAAAGCATAGAACTTACGAGAAGGTAATTATTATATTATGTGCATGATATAGAAATTGTATTGGCAACTTGGAGACACTTCCCAGGGACACTTGCTCCCCACCATGTGGTGTAAGTCTTGTGAATCTGTAGTGGGATCTGTTCCTATGGAAAAAATTCATCTTTGCCAACTCCTGAGCTTCACAAATCCCTTTTCATTTCTCAGGTCAAAGTTGCTATCCTGAAGTATATTGAGTCCTTGGCAAGACAGATGGATCCAACAGACTTTGTGAACTCCAGTGAGACAAGACTTGCTGTATCTAGAATTATAACTTGGACTACAGAACCAAAGAGCTCAGATGTGAGAAAGGTAAGCCAGGACACTGAAGTATTTGCAGTAATTTACTCTTCAGGAAGGAGAAAAAAACCCAAACAAACCTGTCATAAAGGTAATGAAAAGTTCAGTGATTAGACTCTAACTTAACAAAGCCCTGATTTTGCATACCTCACTGTCCAAACAAAACCGTCAGTTGAGTTAACACACAATTCTGAAGCATGTCTTCATATATTTTTTCCTAGTAGGTACTTGTGTGACTTTAACTACTGTTACCGTACAAAAAGAGATCATGGTTTGAAAATGTGCTTTTTCTTGAGAATTCTGGAAATATCTCTAGGTTTGTGTTTTGTTTAGGTGATGGCTTTGTGCTTTGTAGACTGAAAGCTAGCACAAATTCAGTGTTATAAGGTTGTTAAAAGAAAGTAAACAAATCAGTAAGCTGCCAGGGGCTCTCAACACTTTCCTTTTAAGTGCTGTATGTTTATCTCTGTCTGGAAAAAACTGACACAATTAGGTCAGGCCTGGGTAATAGTTATCTTTTTCTTTATCTTGCTCTTGATGCAAGTGTCAGGCAAGCTAAAATGGGACAGGTAGTGATACTCATCTCTCCCAAGAGAAAAGCAAGACTTAGTTTTATGTAGCTGGCATTTTAACACAGTTTAAAATTACCTTCTATTTCCAGTAGGAGTTAAAGGCTTTGAGATGTACTTGAATTTAAAAAACAACCAGACAAATTTTAATAATTCCATAATGCAGAAACTGTAAGACAACTTAACACTATATGCCCATAAAATGTTGACTTAATGCTAGAATAACATGCAATTTTATAACTTCAGCAATAATAAAATTACTTTTATATGATTCTGATTAAAAGATTGCTGGGTATCAAATGTGCTGCCACACACATGTGCATTATCCAGCAGCTGAACGAAGGCTTCAAAGAAGCTGTTTGGGCATGTGCTGTTTCCTTGCTCGCATAGAGGTGATTGGTTCTGAGGGAAAAAGGAACATCCTCTTTCCTGAAGACTTCCTGCAGGGATTATTCACAGCACTGTAACTGCAAGTTGCTTCTGTAAGACAGTCTCCCTCAGGAAAAAAGGGGTACTTTAAATTCTGGACTTAGATCTGGAATATGGATTTGCATTTTAATGTTTCCATGTCCAAAGTCAGAAAGAATTGATCAGGCAAAGCAGCCACTTCTGTGTTACAGTTCAGGTGAATCTCAAGCAGTTTACTCTGCTGCTGCTGTGAGGGGAAGTTGTAAATATTTTAAGTAGAAATATGCATTGAAAAGCAAATTCTCTTCATATTGCTCAGCAGGAGAAACATTCCACCATTAGGGGTCATCATTGCTGCGTGCAAAGGGAAGCAGAGAGTATCTGCTGCAGCTGAAAAATTGGATGTTTGCTGTTCCCTGTGGGCTGTGGGGAGCAGGTGCTCACTGTGTGGTGTCCATCCTTCTGTCTGTTCCAATGGCTTGCACAGCTCTGGCAAAACTTGCAGTAAACTCTACCTGAGTAGTACTTGGGAAAGTGCCTTGGGGCTTACAAGAGGTTACTGAATCAAATTTTTTTTTTATTAAACCTACATATGACTTGGATTTGCCTTTGGTGCCAGTAGTTTTCAAATAAATTATTACACAGTTAAGCTAATTTAGACTATTAAAAACAAATGCACAGGTGATCTTTATTTCATCATACCATTGCTGTACTGTGATTTTATTAAGAACGTAGTACAGACCAGAGGCTTTAGAAGAAACAGTGTAGCAAAGGATTTATAAGCAATCATTGGCCGTTATCTCTGTCAGGACTGTAGTTAACAGGCTTATGAATTGGTTATGCAATAGTGAATTGGATTATCAAGAGCCAATCTAGGCAGGTAAAATGTTCTGAAGAACACAAATATTTCCGTGGGTTTTTTGGCACTATAACTTGGGGGGGAAAAAAAATAGTACCTTTTTAATATCTAGATGATTAATTTAAGCATCAGAAGATTCTGCCCTTGTGGAAGGTATCATGGTGGCCTTCAAGATCTGTGGTTTCCCACAATGCAGAGCAGGCCATGCCCTATAAACACTGTGACAACCTGAAAATGGAGATGGCAGTGGAGATTATTGGGGAGGAGAAGAATCAGTTTTGTCTTCAGGTGATTGAAGTACCACAAGTGGCCTGCATAAAGTGTAAAAATATGTAGTTTTTCAATATAATCTGGTCTTAAGACTGCCAGTGCAAGCTCCTGCAAGTGACAAGAGGGCACGTCATTCATGGTACCAAGGGCTCCTGGGTGGTGTAGTCCAATTTACAGGTATGACTGTGGCTGACTTGGTGGAACAGTGATGCTGCTGCTCAGCTACTCGTGGAGACAGGGACTCTTTCCCCCAAGAAATGGAGTCCCACAGCCAGTATCCTTTTCACCCAAGTCTGAGTTACTGAATTCTGCTATAATGCAAATAACATTTGTTTGTGGTGGCCATGCTGGGGTTTACCTTTGAGCAGAGGCAGATAAAGCAAACTTCCTCACACTGGTGATATCTGTCAGTGAGGAAGGCATGTGGCTGCTGTGTGCACGTGGAATTAATCATGCAAATCTAATCCTGTAATAGCCATCAAGGCGTCTGTTCAATAAATTGATTCTATTTTCAGTCTATAATGCAATTATCCTTTTGTTCATCTGTCCATTACTACTACTTACTAGGAGTGATGGTCATGGAGGTCCCAGCCACGTAATGTTAAGGCACTGGGGGAAAATAGAAAAAAAAAATGTCATTTAGCCCAAAAACCTTTTCAAACTGAATGCTACAGCTTTATTAATAACTGTGTGACAACATTAAACACACTTAATGAGCACCCTTAACCAGTCTGACATGACTTGAACTGCAGCTCATGTTTTGTAGCTAGTGAGATCAGAAAAAGTCAAATGCTGTTTTGCTGAAACAGTTTATGGTCCTGTATGGAATGACATCTGTGGTCAAACATAAGCTCTGTTACCACAAGAAAAACGTGATGTACTATGAGGAGCCTGCAGTTGATTCTAAAGTGTGTATTGACAGAATGTTGTGATTCCCTCTTAGGGCAGAAATCATTTAAACTGCTGATAGTAGCCATTAACTATGTACAGTTGAAATTATTGTCAAGCTTTAGGTTTAAAATACGGTGATCTGCAGTGTGTTACAGGTAAATATTTGTCTTGTTTTAAAGATTGTTAGTACTTGTGGGTGTTTACCCTGCATTCAGCTTAAGGTTTACTTCCTGCAAGCAGTGCTGGAAGAAAGGTGAAGGCATTTGCTCTCTATGCTGAGCAAAAGCCACGGGGTAGGAGCAGGTCCTGCAGTGCTGTGTGGACGCCTGGATGGGATGTGGTTCCAGTGTGAGGAGAGCACCTGTTGGTGATTCCTGCACATGCAGCCAGCTCCTGGCTTTTTCCCCAAGCAGAGCTTATCAGTGGGCAGGGCAGAGATCAGTATTTCAGATAATTGAGCTGTAATTTCAACTGCAGTAGCATCTAACCTTGTGTGAGGTACTTAACTTTCCTCTGCACTGATTTATTTCCTGCTGTAGCAGGGTGTTAATTCTGATTTTCCTCTGGAAATTGTTGAAGATTTGATGAAATAATTTTGCAAAAGCCAGTTAATTACCACACAGAAAAGTAACACAATGGCAATGCCTGGTCTGTGAGGACATTATAAGTCAGTAACTTCACCATTTTATTAATAATATTGCCAGCAAAGCTGTTGTGCAATCCTTACGTAGGTAAAGTGCTGATTGAATTTGGATGACAGGCATGGGCTCTGTGTGGGAAAATACTTTGATCTTGGAAAAGAGCCATCAGTTTGAGAATGGAAATTAGAATAAGGCTTCTCATTTGACTTTGGCCAAAGCCTACAGAAACCTCGTGTCCAAGGCTTGTCTGAATGGAAACTTTTATTTAACATGAGTGCCCAGAATTTGTGGGTGTGGAATCAGCTGCGAGGGCACACAGGATCTTAGTCTTTAAGAGGACATTGTACAGGCTGAAGGGGAATGAGGCTTCCTGTGGTGAAGGGCCAGTGACAATTCTTACCATCTTGTTAATCAGCCCAGCTCTGGTCTTAATGATAAATAACAAGATCTGTATTGCCTGATTAGTATTCGGAGTACTAATCTCAGGGCAGGAGAAATTTCTTTCCTTTGTTCCAGATATCCTGATTGGCTTCTCTGTTGATGAAACATTCTTACAGTGGTTTTATTTTACAAGCTTGAAGGCATTTTTACATGTTATGGGAAGGCTTGTGTCACATGTACATCACATTCTGCCTTCCGTTTATGTAACTGGGAAAACGTTTCCTTTCAACTGCCCCACTTGTCACTGCGAGCTGCCATTGAATACAGACAGTTGGATAGCTTTGGGTAAGAAACTAGAACCATTGCACTGAATCAAAAAGCCCAGGAGGGTGCTTGCGTTGCTCTAATTTTCATGAAGATGGAGCTCTCCTGAGAGTACCTTGGGGAAGGTCCTCCTTGGATTGCTACCACTGGTTTGCAGGTGAACTTGAGGGATATCCAAAGAAAATGAGTTTGGGATCAGATTTTTTTTCACTGAAACTGATTGAGAAACAGTTTCTGAATTGTGAAGAAGATGAGGAAGATTTCAGAGAGAAAACTGCAGGCCAACAGATACTTCATAAGCTGAAGCAGGCAATGAAGATGTATTTACATCTTTAGTAATCCTCAAAGTCATTTCTTGAGAAATATTGATATTGTCACAATGACAAGCAAAACCTGTCAATCAGTAAAGCCTAGATCAAGCAACTTTGTAAAGTATTGCTGTGATATCTGCAGGGGGATCAGTGACAGGAATGCAAACACTTTCAAGGAAAGGAAATCAGGCTCTTTTGCATAGTGATGTTATGAGACCTCTAAAAACTCTTGGAAGTTTTAATCACCCATCTCACATCAGTCTGATTTCAGTTACTCTGGGACAGATATGTCACTGTAAGAGCACTTTCAGTGCCTCTTAGTGAGCTGAAATGGCATTGCTTATTTGTACTGGTGTTG